GAAAATTAGACATCCTCACTTTTTTCCATAAGACCGTGCCCCAAAACTTATATGAAATACACAAAAGAATACAGAAACACTCTCAAATAAAGTTATTTGTATTATAAACACATTAAAAATCCTGTAGCTTTCAATCTTGCCGAGAGAGTCGCAACAAGGCATGGACTTCGCCGCCAACAGGTTGACCAGGGCGGCAAATTGTCTCGGTCACTGAAGCATCTCAACAGAGAACTACCTCTGTCAGCTTCTGTCGGGGTGGATGTAAGTTCCGCTCCTCAGCAGGGTACAGGAGGTATAGTTTGGCTTCTTCCCAGTTTATGCTCCTTTTGGGTTATGCATTCGTATCGAGTAGCGGAACGACGAGAAGGAGAAAGACCAATGATACCTTCGTTTTTACTTTTGATAATTCGACCAAACATTGATTAATTTACCAAGTAAGTGTCTTTTATAATCTGTTGGTCGTCTTTCGTCAAAATTTTAGTCGCCAAATTTTTTTTTCACTCGCCATGGCGACCAAAATGGTCGCAGCTTGGAGCGCTGTCGAGGGGCTTGTCAATTTATTTTTTCTGGTTTTCTGTTTAAGGTCTTGTATTGAAGAAAAAGAAAAAATATCATTTCTTTTCTTTCTCAACAGCAATACATGGATGAGTATCCAAAGATGTTTCTTGTTGGTGTAGATAATGTGGGATCCAAACAGATGCAGCAGATCCGCCAGTCTCTGCGTGGAAGAGCCGAGATTCTTATGGGCAAGAACACCATGATCAGGAAAGCTATTCGTGGACACTTGGACAATAACCCTGCCCTGGAAAAGTGAGGGAATCTTGACTGTGTTGATGAAAATTTTTCTAAGTCAAATATCTTTTAAATAGACCTGAGCCATTGAACAGGCATTTTAAATGAGTAATAGCATAATAATAATAATAATAATAATAATAATAATAATAATAATAATAATAATAATAATAATAATTGATATTATAGCTAGATAGGAGCTGCAGGGGTGATGAGATTTCTACAAAGGGGCAGTCCGTCAATCATCTGTAAACTTCTAGTGTTGATTTAACCAGTCAGAAGGTAATTAGCAAGAGATAGCATAGCTAGGAGTGATCATATGTTATTCAAATGAACATGACTTTCTTTGCAGGCTGAAACTGAATTTCCTAGTCGGCCTAACTTCCTGTGGCACTGAACACTCACAGTTTGAGTGTTTTGTTGTTTCCAGATTTGCTGAAAAATTACAGCAATGGATTGATTCAGTAGTGTGCATGGTACTGTACACATTTTGAAATGGCTACCAAAGCAATGGGTTGATCACTCAATTTTCACACCAATTGTTGTTTTACTGGCCTTGTCATCTTTTCATGGGTATTACAAGTTGGCTTTAAGAGCAGGTTTTAATCTTTTAAAAATGTTTTTTTAGAGTTTTCCTTCAAAATTATGTTCTTTTTAGTGTTCTGGGAATTGGTCTATGCTATGTAAATTGACAGGACGTGTTGTTCAGGATAGAAATGACTATATAAGCAAATTTACAGTGCGACTACTCGAACTGGGCCACCTAGAAGAAACCTAAACAAGCAAAACGTGAAATGAGAACAATGGACTGGTAGCTTTCTTGTGATGGCAAGAAATGAGGGTCTGTTTGACATAAAGCTATCAACCCATCTGCATTATATACAATCTTAGAGATTCAGTCCTTGATGGTGAATTATCATAATTATCCGGAGCCTATGACCCAGAGCCTCCACATGTAAATAAAAAAATTATACCCTTGAGTCACACCTTTCCTGTATCTTTTTATTTTTAGAAACAGCATTTTCCATGAAAACTACTGTTTCCATCGTAGACTGCCTGGGGTCAATTTTACTCTTAAAAATATGGCGGAAAATGGTGATACACATTCCCTTGTACTTTGTTTGTTTTCCTGACCATTAAATGATTCCTTCCTGTCAGTACAGTCGAGAGAGCCTGGTTTGGGGTTGAATGAATAACTGGTAATATTAATAAACAACTTTCCTGACCTTGAAGTTGTCAAATGTCTAAACTGAACATGGAGTTGCTGTCATGATCGAGTGCGACTTATTTGCTTGTGCTGCTCTTTCAAGCTCTGGTTAGTGTGATAATGTAGCTTATCAACTAAACAGAAAGCCTTAGTGCTCTTTGGACAGGGCCTGTCCCAGGATGAAGGCAGAGATTGATAAAGAAATACTGTGTTATGTGATCTCGTGCAAGGTGGCATTGGGAATATGCAACGATTATCAAGTAGTGCAAAAACCCTGGCTCAAACTAACAGTACTTATCAGGGTCAATTCCTTCACATAAAACCTAGCAACAAAATGTCTGTTGTTTGTGAAGTTGATCAGCTGGAACTGTGGCAAAGAGAATTGTCAATCGCTGGTTTTGGAGATGAGATCTTGCATTTTACAATTTGTGAATGTTCCCAATAGATGTCTCAACAAGACAACAGGCAAAGAACTGTTGCACGCTTTGCCAGCTTGTAAGGAAGTCTATTGATCTAGCAAGGCTTTCATCCTAGGCGATAGGGTTTGACCCTTTTGTATCTGTAATTTCTTGGTTGCATGCAATTGTTAAGTTTCCATATGGTTGATTTGGGCTCATTTGTGATTCATACATACAATACCTGTATTTATTGTATTATAATGTTTTGGTTGGACCTATGTGGCAGAAAATCTTCAGTGAATTTAACTTGGTTATGTATTAACTATATGTTGACCTAACGTCAATTTAAAGTCATTTTCACTATGTCTCTGCC